AAAAAAAAATAGTCGCGGAGAGAAGCCATGTTTGCTTACCTTGCAAATGATCGTTTTTAGCCTTCAATTCGCTAATTTCATTTTGCAACGAAGAAATTTCTTGCGCATGTAGCTCCAACTGCTTCTTCAGTTTTTGCTCTGACGAAGACATCGTTTTTAGTCGATTTTCCAGTTCCGTGCAGACCTATAAAATATACCAGAAACTGTTTCAACTCCTTTCATTTTCGTATATATTTCTCCTTTCCCATCTTATTAACTTTTTTATTGATTTTTATTTTTTATTAGGTGCAGTTCCGGATTCGAAAAAAAATTTTTTTTTTTGTAAGTTAACGCGTCACTACATTCATTATACTAGCAGTTGTGATCGTGGATACGACTTAATGAATCAAAATAATAGCGCACATAAATAGATAGAAGGGAAGATTCGACTTTAATATTTCATGTGAAATAAGCTAATGCGGAGGAGAAGAGGGGAAGGGGAAGGAGCTGGTAGGGGGGAGGGAAGAAAAGCTGGAAGATAGTATGTAGGAACATGTGTTATAAACAATGTGACATGTTCACATGTGCTGAGAATATGTAGAGATATTTGTCTGTTTTTTGGGGGTGGGAATCATCAGTACAGCCCCCTAAACCACCATGTAAATTAGGGAATGTGGCGTGTGGGAAGACAGAAGGAAGTGCCAAAAGGAAGTCATATAAGTCAAACAGGCAGTGGAGTCTTGTTGGAGATATGCAGCCTCGGTTATTCACTTCATTATTTGTTCTTGATTTACCCTTTATCTCTACAATAACCCATTACTTTCATAATTTAAACTTAAAAAAATATGTTCTGCCAAAAAAAAATTTTTTTTTTAGTTTTCAAACAAATTTTTTAAGTTTTTTGACCAAAAAAAAAAAACAAATTTTTCAAGATGTTTGACCAAAAAAACAAATTTTTTTAAAAGTTTTCAACATTATAGAAATTATTTCTCAAGTGAAAAGATATGATTCAAGCAAAAATATACTAACATTCGTTTTACTTTCCCTTTCTGAGGTTGCAGTTTGAAGCGTTGCTCGTAAATCGCTGATAATTTTCTCATTCTGTTCCTCAACCAACAGCTTCCTTTCCAGTGACGATATATTCATTTTTTGCTGTTCAATTTCTTGATCTTTTTTAGCCACCTGTAAACTCATCTCATCCATCTGAAAAAATAAGAAATAACCAGCTGTAACTACAAAAAGTCGCTAGAAACTCTTAAAAAGACAGGCCAACTGAACTTATCGTTCAGACATTTCGACAAGGAAAATAGAATCAGTACGCCGTCACCCGGCCTGTGTATTATGGCCATCATGGTTCTTACTCGCTGTGGAAAGAAAGTGACAGACAACTAGTACTTTCCCTCTCGAGAAAAAATAAATAGCGACGCGCACCAGGGCAGCCCGTGCAACCACGCGTTTTGTGCAATTCCGTCCACCGAACGATTGCATACTAATGATTTTCACTGCTTTGAATTTAAATTTGTAGGGTTGCGCATGAGCAGGGAACAGTTTTTCAAAATTTCTGCTTCCCAGATTCTGCGGTTCCCGAGATAATAATTTACCTGCCAAAAGTTTCACAGGTCGGTGGGTGATATCCGAGGGTGTGGGAACACTGAATTTGAATTTGCGAGGTCGTACATGGGCAGGGGGTCATTACCTTAAAAATTCCGCTTCCTACATTTCATGGTTCCCGAGATAATAAATTACCCGCCAAAAGTTTCACGGAGCCGTATATGTTACCCGCGGGCACGGAAGACTGAATTTGAATTTTCTGGATCGCACGTGGGCAGAGGACACATTCACAAAATTTTACCCTCCTGGCTTCCGCGGTTCCTGAGATAGCATTGTCGACTATTAGATGATGCAGCAACGAATGAATAGAAACAGAATATAAAAAGGAAGGGCGATAGAAACCCAACCAAAATTAGTCGTACCCAGCAGGGTTGACGAGAAGGTCGAAGTTGTGAAGTGGTATTTTGTGGCCGTAAGTAGGCTGAAGCATACCTTGCGCAGTAGTGGCCCATGCTAACCGAAGGAAAATCAGCGTCTAACTGAAGTTTTGCCCGTTGCAAGTGTGTGGAAGACAAAGACTGGACAAAATAACAAACCAAGAATATAAAAAAGAAACCTGTGAAAGTAGCTCAGCTTTTGCGGTCTGTTCGTTCATTTCACATTGTTTCCTCATTTCAAGAGCCTCTTGCTCCGCTTGCTTCTTGATATTTTCCAGTTGCTGTTCACAATCCTGCATTTAACAGTATCATCACTAAATTCCTCTTCTTTTAACGCACAACCCTACAAAGCAGCAATATCGGCTCAAACCCAACCCCCCGTTATGCGCAGTTCTCACGTACGGACTCGTGCGAGTTTTTTTCAGATGAGTTGCTAACTCGGAAACCTGAAAAGCTAGAAAGCTGAAATTTTACAAGGATATTCCATATTTACGTATGGTCAAAAACCAGCTTAAAGACTAAATTCCCTGCATGTGGAAACACACAATTCTAAAGAGCAGCACTATCTCTCATTCACTAATAGCACCTCAGAAGAAACCAGGGCCATTAAAATAAAACAGTGTTTAGCATGGTGTTGATTTTCTTATTTTTTTTTTTTGCTCCAACAATTGCGCACCAAAGATTACCTGCTTAGATAGTTGTACAGCTTTCTCGCAGTCCTCTTTTACCATGGATAATTCGGCCACAAGACGATCCCTCTCGATCCGAACACAATCTAGTTCAGCAAGCTGTTTTTCCGTTTCTTCCAAATTCTCTTTCAGATTTTTTATTGTTGACTCATGCTGTTCCCTGTAATATCCTCAAGTCGTATGCAACCAAAGATATACTTCTGGGAAATAGAAAAATAGAGTGTACTAACAACGGCTGAAAGAAAAGGAAGAGTAAAAAAGGTAGGAGATGCGAATTAAATCCATACGAAGAGCGCCAAAATCCGAGCACTTTTTACTAACTTTTTTTTTCACCTACCCTAATTTTAACATACCCACGTATGATTTTTTTTCATGGCCCTATTGCATATCACAGCTCATTCTGGCTATTCTTTACTACACTTTGTTACCACTGACTACAGTATCAAACAAAGTGAATTATGCGCCCAATGATTTTGGAAGGTTCTCCTTTAAAATTCGATGATTTTTGTTTTGAAAACAACACACAAATAGAAAACTGCCCTCCTTCAAGGAACACCGCAACAAGAAACCGATGACAACAATCAAAATGATAATTCAACAAATAATTTAATGCTCAAAAGTCAAATTTTTTGATCAAATAAATTATTATTGCTAGAGTCGATCTTTGATTTTTTGTTTCAATTTCACTTTTTTAATACTAAATTAAATTTGAAATCCTCCGTGGAAAAACGAAGTACTCAGAAGTATGCCGTGTGGTAGCAAAATGTTAAGAGCAACCACCTATTGACAAACCCGTTGATGAATTTCGCTTTCGAGGGCTGCTTAAAAGCAAGATTATGGGAGATTTAATGGCAATGCCATTTAGTTTATTAATCTTTTGACAATTCAGTGATAAAACAACAATTATCAGACAATAAATTAGCGTAAAATTTAGAAAAAAAAAACAAAAACAAAAACAAAAACCGTTTCTTCGCCTTTTTAACGCCTAAATATGAGAAATCAAGGGAAAGGAAGTGAAGAGAAATTTCTAAGATTTCTGTGAACACATAGATGAATAAGCTAAAATCAGCTATTCGGGTGCCAGCTTTATAAAAGCTAAAAATCATTCGAAAACATCAAAAAATAGCTGCAGCACATTGAATTGTGCTGAGAAGCAAAAAATAGATATGCGAACTGTCAAGGAGAAACTGAAGCTGCGAGTTATGAAAAAAAATGGTACCTTATGGTTCGTTCGTTTTCCTCTTTTCGCTTACTTTCATCAAGCTCCATCAGAAGGCGCTCAACGGTGTTGCGGCTCTCTCTGAGTTGCTCATTTACTTTCTCCAACATTTCATTTGCTCGCGCAAGTTCGGTTTCCACGTTCGTTGCTCGAATTCGCTCATCCTCGGCACTCCTTTTCAACAGCTCCACTGAACTGCTCTCCCGTGAACTCTGCTCCTCTATCTTCTTTTGCAGTTCACTCACAATACTTTCCTGAAACAGCAACTATTTACATGCAAAATGCACTCGCTTTTGAGTTTGCGATAAAACTGAATATTTGTCATGTTGCTGTGCGTTCAGTAAGAGTGTGGCAAGAGGGGCTGAGTCATTGCCTGCAAAAACAAACAAGTCCTAGATGCGAAACACCGATATTACACTTAGCACCTTAGTTTACTTTCACATTTCCACACTTTCTTTCCTTCTCATCGACATTATATAAAATTTTTATGAATTTTTCAGTAATATAAACTTTTCTCACTTATTACTTAACTTTATTTAAACTTAGCCCACTGATTATTGCTCTTGTTTACTCACAAATCATTTTTTTTCATTTTGCAGTTTTGAGAGAAAAGTTTAATGGCGGCATGTTTTATGCTAAAAATGTAATAATTGTCAAGCTAATCTACAATTCATGCTCTACAAAGCCATGATGACCAACGGTTCAGATAAGATCTACAGTGTCAACACTACCACTTTTGAACAAGAAATTTTGCAATGAATATATTTCGCTAAGAATGCCGAGATCATCCAGTTAACTGATGTGGGAATCTCAAATTCGTGAAGTTACAAGGGAACTGCCAAGGCCCGGAAATGCTACTCTAGGATATTTTAGTGATAATCTGCATATCTCCAGTTAGTATCACAATGAACTGATTAGCTTTGACGATCGCTAATTATCCTAGGAAACGATCTCAAAAATCGCTTTGTGTTTTTGGAATCCCAAAAGTCGCTTTCAAATCGTTATCAAAAGATCTCAAAAATCGCTATGATTAGCTTTGACGATCGCTATGTGTCTCTGGAAATGATCTCAAAAATGGGTAGGACCTAATAAATCAGGCACACAAATTTATGTGCAAAATACTACGGCAGAACCGAATGGAAAAATGAAGACAAAAGGCTTGAAGGAGTTAACAGACTGAGAAAAGAATGGGGTAAGACGTTTCGGTCCATTATTATGCGTTTTGTGCTGTGTAACAGCGTTACAAAACGCATATTGTCACGGGGTTGTCTGTGCG